ATTGTTATTTTGTTGCACATTGGTTTTGAGACCCTTCTGTTATTTTGTCATTTTGTTATTGTATCTAAATTAAAATATTCCAGTTCTGACTTGTTGGCGGGGGCTCGCTATATATATTGTACATATATATATATATGTACAGACATACACATATATATATATATATATATATATATATATATATATATCGTATATGTCATTCGAAAACAGTACTTTTCATCAGCTCCTCGGGAATGGACGTTCAAAAATTGGGTGGTGTCCGAAAACGATTTGGGTCAGGCGTTTCTTTCACTGAAACAGGTCTTCATTCTAAAGGTGCAAAATGGAACTGGAATCTGACTTATTTTTTAGTTCGAAGAAATGCCAAAGTCCTGGACGGTATCTTGAAATGGTTTTACTGATCAACCGCCATATATAAGCTATATATACAGTGTGCCGGATATAATATCCCCCAAAAAAAGTTTCCCATTTTACAATTGAATTCCTGAATCCTGGATTTATCCGGAGTGGTTGGTTATATTATCCAGAGAAATAATTGTACCCAAAGGGTACAATCCCGCTAATGGCGGTTCTTTTACAACAAACAAAATGCGATGATATATATCGACTATCGAGAACTGAACGAATTTTTATTTACCCTTTTACCAATGGAATAAATTATGTACCGATGAAATATTAATGGCGACAAGCAGGATCAAATGTATCTGTGCTGGATCTTATAGGCATATATTCAAGTGCGTATAATCACTGTAGGCCCTATCAAAACCGTAGCATTATCAAGGGGCAACGGTATTGCCTGACCCGCATGGGGTTTGGACTTAATTTCGCCATCGATTATGCAGATGATTGTTGACGCCATTCTAACGATATTTTATGAGCGCAACACATTTGCAAATTCATCTGCATATATTGATGACGGTACGTGAACGAAATTTCAGTCTTTATTTTATTATTATTATTATGAAGGAGCATTATTATTATTAACTTTGGCCTCTCAGCAAGGAACCGGTCGGTTTTTTATGGTGCACGGGTGCGCATGGTTTGCAGGTCTGGGGAAAGATAACGTCCTGTATTGGAAACGGAAACGAACTCCCAAACATGCCATCTGTTGTCAACGCCGCTTGCATATTTTCCTTGTGCGGCAAGTTAGTTGGACACCTTCCTGTAGGTGGCTGGCTGCGTGTTGCGGTGGCGTTTCTCAAGCGGAGAGCATCTGACGTCACCACTGGATGGGATGCGAAAGTTCACGACGCCCTCTCAACACCATGATGAAGGAGGTCCTCGCAAAGTACGCAAAAAAAAGACCCATCTTTTTTCTTTAGATGGTGCGTTGACAGCCAAGACCTCTGTGTGAGTTGACGAGCCTCTTAAACCGGTCGATCGATAGTTCACGGCTGGAGCCGTGGTAGAAGATGCTTGCTGGTTACGTCCAGAAAGGGACTCCAGCACATAAACCTGAGCGGAGCTCGATGCTGTCATCAAGGGGATCAACGGCGATCCTCTGAAGTCGAACCACCCTGCGCCTGTTCACTGATTCCGCTTATGTTATAAGAAAATCTCTGATACCTTTTTCCGGGAGGGCCAGGGTGCGGACTAAATGCCACCAAAGCGAACATGCTTATCCGATTTTGACGGCTCTATAGATATCGTTGAATTTAGTGCAAGAGTACGCACTGACAATGGAGGTGTCCCTGGTCAAATCAGCCTCAACAAAGCAGATTGTTTAACGATCTGTGCCGCAAAAGGTGGCTTTAACGCCGCTAAAGAAAACCATTGAGCCCGCGGCAACCAGCCTGCGCTTGCGTCCAATAGTCCCGTTCGATTTAATCAAATCAAAGCAGTCCACCAACAAAGTGGGCACCCTGGAGTCAAGCCAGACACTGTATTTCGCCAAGTTGGTTGACCCAGGAGACAAAAACAGACGTCAGGAGAGTGGTCAGAAGCTGCGTGGCGTGCCAGTCTATAGACCCAGCACCCGCTTCGCTGGAAGAAAGGGCAGCTGAGCGTGAGGAACCACTGGACCGTTTGGCGATTTTTGTTACTTTACAACGGCGAGCATTTCCTGACACTCATTGATTGTGGTCCATCCAGGTTTGCGATATGGCGACTGCTTGCGTCGGCAAGATGCAATTTCTATCATCCGTCAGTTAAACAGCATCTTTTTGAACGTGGCCCCCAACGGAGATATTAACCGACAATGGCACCGCATTCACCAGCGAGCAGTTTAAGAAGTTTATCTTGGCTGAGTGCTTATTATTACGGTTCAGTCTACGCAAAATATCGATATATGTTGGAAATGGAATTTAAGCTGGTGGAACCACAGAGAATTGTTCATACCAAAGCAGCCAGGACGGGCTGCACAAAAAGCAAATACTATCTACAACGTGACCCGGAAGATGATGTCTCACCCTCTATCCATTTTTTTCTTTTTAGACACATTGCATAGGTACCACATTGGTTTGAAGGGCAATTAAACCAACCCATCTAGTCTTTTTCTGTAACCGGAGAGAGGCTGAAGAAAGTTTGTGTCGTGGATTAAAAAATCCGTTCTGTTGTCCTTTCTAAAGATTTGAATCATGCGTCACTGAGGTGATCAGCCCAATCTTAGATAATTTCGAATATTTTCCCCAGACACGTTAATTTCCTGCGTCCCGTCGATGCAGTTGCAAAATACCGCTGGAAAAGCGATGAGAGCGAATTCAGAATCTGAGACCAGTGAGGCATCGCTCTGGTTCACGCCAGCCCCATCAGGCAGTGACTCTGATATCAGTAGCCTTCCAAGGGACGCGGTTTTTCAACCCTCAGACCTCAGACAGGATCACTAGCAACGGCGAGGCTCGCAGCTTAATAACTGATTGAAGAAGTACCCACCAAGATAGAATCACCAAAAAAAATATTAACTGTCAAACTTGATCATGAGATCATGGGGAGTGAATAGGGAAAATAGAAACGGCCTATCGTCCGATTAACGCTCTCCAAAATCTTCCTGGCCTGGGGTTGAAAAGGAAAGAAAAGATTCAAAATGGCGTCCGTTTTGGCTTTTTTTAATATTCACGGTTCTCAATCCCAATAGTCAATGCAGTCCGCTGTACACACATGCTAATGAGGTGTGTCTGGGCTCCATAAAAGCAGGTTGCTTGAGACATTGGCAGACCAACATTTCAATATATATATGGTGTACATCGCTTTGTTGCAGAGATTTTCAGACGGAAAGAGTTGCGTCCCTTAACTGTTTAAGGATAACTCATTTTACTACACTTTCAATCAGCAAAATTTCTTCAAGGTTGAGTTGGTTAAAGCATGGTGGATCTAACAAAGGTTCTCTCTACCCAGGACAGCGGGGGATAAGATTCAAATACTGCTGGAAAATGCATATTTTTCTTTAATAAGATTTCTCAAGTATTCAGGCCAGTAGATGAAAATAAATATACTGTTTAATAAATAAATGGACCATCTACTCAAATATGAATATCCACTAAAATAACATTTAAAGTGATATATATAGTCATTCATAGACAGACTGTTTCACTGTATCACAGCTCATCAGTGTGGCTAGATATCTGATCGCTTCAGGCCAAGACCAAAACCCGACTGATTTGGTATCAGTCAGAGATTCTAACCCCTAGGCCATTGACACATGGCAGAGAGAAAGGCAAATTTTTGTGTATTTATTTTTTCATAAACACACAAGTCACTCAGAGAACTCAGTCATTAGGATAGTCTTGCATTATCAGCAGTAATAGTGCTTAACCGATTAGATTATTTTATTGAGAGCTAATATAGTTTTATGGTATGCTATATTAATGGTTAAAGTGCTCAATATCAGAGATAGTGCACATGTAAATATCAAAATGGATATTGAATTCGACACCCAGAAGCGACAGTCTGTTTCATGCGTAAACACAATTGTCAGGCCATATGCCTTATGTTGACTTCAATGTCCACCTTTTATATATATATATATATATATATATATATACATACATATATATATATAGGATGATGATATATAAATTTTGATATATTAAGAACAGTTTTGAAAGAAAAGATTTATGACAAATTGGAAAAAGTTCTTATGACATGTTTCATTAGGACTTCATAACAACGTAAACAAATCCAGTTCAATGAGGTCCTAATGGATGAAACACTTCACAAAAAACTTTTTCCAGTTTGTTATATATATATATATATATATATATATATATATATATATATATATATATGAATTATAAATACCTTAGCAACTTATGTTTCACCCTTCTGTTGAGGGAGCATCAGGCTACATTATATATATGATGTATTAATGCCATAGAGACACGCTAGGTTGTTTACAATTAGAGATAATGAGAAAGAGAAAGGAGTATAAAATAAGGGGAAAAGTTTTAATGTTTACATCTGTTTTAACACTGACCCTTGATAATATTTTTGTTTTGTCAAGAATGATTCTAGAACAGGCAGAAAGTGCTTATCACTATATTTTCAAACTGTTAGCTATGTTTTAATTTTTGCTTTTGTTTGTTTTCATCTAATTCCATGTGGAGATTATTTTTTATTTGATGGCCTTTAATGAAGTGTGGATCTGTTCCTACTCAGAAGGAGTCTACTCATTAAATGTGCCTCTTGATTAAAATGCCTACGAAGATCTTATTGGCTTCGTTAGTTTTATTTCCACAAAATTCAAAACACTGATCACATGATGAATCATACATGTTTATTAAACATTCAAGTAAGAGCAATAGAATTTTTTTTTTTCACATTACCCAAACAACAAAATTTGCAAAATAAGTTGCTTAATATACATACAGCCATTTTTATTTAGTTTTTCTTTGTTGAAGCAGGATTGTTATTAATTTTGCATAAAGCAAGGTGGATCCTGCCTGACAAAGGATTTGAGACGAGATTTTTTAGCAGGTTGGATGCTCTTCTCAGATCAACTTAGACACTCACAGTAGTCCAAGTACACCAAGTATTTTTTCCGAGACACCATCTCTAGGGTTTTACAGCCACATCACATTGAAACACTGGTTCCCATAGGATGTCTGAAGTTAAGCAACATCAAGCCTAGTTAGTACCTAGATGGGTGACTGCTTGAGAATACAAGGTGCTGTAAGTTTTGTTTAATGGATAATAGATAGGAATTGTTAATTGCGTAGCCAATTTCCAATTTCACTTGGGTTCATTACACACAAATACTCTCAGGAAATGTATGAATCTACCTCTTTTCCCTCCAGCTATGGGTTAATTGGTAAGACTTGTATCATAAAATCTTTATTATCTCCAAGAAAAATTTTTCTTTAAATCTAAGGGTTGGTAATCCATAGAATATGCATCAATCAACTATCACTAGGAAGATTGCCATTTAAGGCTTGAGACCCCATTCTAGCCTTATATATATATATATATATATACACACACACAAGTTTCATTAAAACTTCCAGTTGACAAAAACAGAAAAATTAAATTATCAACTATAAAAATTTTAAGCTGCAAACCTCATAGTCAACAACAATAATTCACCTGCAAAATCTAAATTACAGAGAACCAATATTATTTACAAATTCACATGTCCTTTAAGGAACAATGTTTCTAATCAAACCAAATTCATAAATAATTATGTTGTATATATAACAACATGCCTAACATGAAGACTCACATTGCATCTCTCTGGCCATAGCTCTATTAGGTCACACTTAAATACACATGGAGACCTACCAAACTCCATCTGCAACATACTCATTGATAATACAAATATAATAGCATCATCCACATGTACAAAAAGACTAAAAATAATGGAAGCATTATTAATAAGAAAGAAAAAGCCAACACTCAATAATATCAACTATGAACACAGCCACAATGTGTTGACCATGTTTGGAAAATATAACATTCCTACAACTCTAGATTCATACATAAAATGATGCATATATTCAGTTAAAAATAAAACCGTCCTTCATAATGTCTAAAAGTATAGCTAAAAGTGCTTTAGCATACAGAACATTCAGACAATTTTTACATAATTAATGTCCTGTGTAAAGAATAAAATTATAAGAACACAAGAAAAATTAAATAAGAACCTTAACTGTAGTACTTTTGGCTGCTGGCTAATCCAGACCCCCAAAAAAACCCAACTCCACCTTACATGACTCCAAAAACTTGATATATCACAAACACCCCTACTTCCATCAAAGCAGTGACCCCTTGATAAAGAAAAAGCAAACCCTAGAGCACACCTCCATTTCAAAACTATAAATGAGTAAAACATTCCATACCTAGTTATTCCAAAACAAAGCTTGAGAATGAAACTGCCACCCAGTAGTTAAGGTTTAATATTGAAATTAAACTTAAATACTGCTGACCAGTTTCGAAACATAGTAATTTCTGTGTCGCGATGGAATCATATTTTTAAAAAAAAATAATTATAATCTACGTTCTACTTATGTATCGAGCACTGTTTTTTTTAAAATAAAAACAAAAATACTAAAGAACTTTGGATCATCAATCTAACAGTTCTTTCCTATTATATCAATATATACACACACAGACATATATATATATATATATATATATATATATGCACAGGAGTTGGTTGTTAGCTCCTATTATAAGCTCATCTGCTCTATGAGAGGTCTTCTTTTTCATCCTGACACTTTCCTGACCAGTAAAAACTAGTTGGGAAGCTGGTTTAGATGCCAACCACCTGTCCATATAGCAGGTTGTAAAACAAAAATACATGTTACTAGTAGCAGGTTTGAGCCTCACCTGACTAAGTTGCTTAATATGAATGCTTATTTTTGCAATCAAGGATACCACAGACAAGATTTAGTAGACAAATATATCAAATGATATCTATATTTTTTAATTTCTCATTTAATACTTATCTATACTTATCTAAGCATGTGATATATCCAGAAGTATACTTCTTTTATGTGTAGAATCCCTTCAGAACATTGGCAATCATGACTCTTCACAACTTCCTATACTATGTATCTCAAAGCAATGTTTATCTCCTTGCTCCCCCTCCCAGTTCCTGTTTTGCCATCCATTTACACAAGCCTGTTAGGTCAGTTACTCAATGTTTCCCTTTTCACCACTCACCTTCAATATATCTTCAGAGTGTCAAATTCTCTTAGCCCTCTTTCCTTATGTGTCCAAGAAATTTATGTTTCCATTTTCCTTGAAACTTCCTTATTGCTCACATGTTCCATCCATGGGTATTCTCAGCATCCTTTCAAAGAACCACATCTCTGTCTCCTCAAGTCGAATCTTCATCTGTGAAGAAATTGTCCAGCATTCACTGCCATATATGAGGTTTGATATTACATAGCAATTTTACACTCCATCTAACCTAACAGAAGAATTTCAAATTAGAACAAAACTAATGTAATACAGGATGTGGCAGAAATACCCCATTGTAAATTTGGATTTATTTTTTCCAGAAATACCTCCCACATAATGGTAAGACATTAGCTAAAGACACCAAAGTCATTAATGTCTTGCCATTAAAAATGGTATTTCTACCATATACTGTACTATTATATATAGTGTGGCAAAGGTATACCCATTTTTTTTTAGCTGTAGTGGATAGGACAACATGGAGCAATTGAATGGCCATCAGACCTAACACCATCAGAATTTTTCTTGTGGAGTGTGTACTGAAAGATCTTGTTTACAAGTTCAAACCAAAAACAGTTTCTGAATTAAAACAAGCAATTAATATAGAAATGTGTCCAATAGTGTTCAGCATTGTATTTAAAATAAAAAGGAGCATTTTGAACATGTTAAATAATTTGGTAATCATGACAAATCATGTTTTCATGTGACAAGAAAAAAATGGCATTACTTTCGCTGCACCCTGTGTATATTTTTAGGTTATCTGACAAAAGTAATCTGCAAGAATTATTCACTGGGCTATAAACGATAATGTAGGCAGTAATATCTGTGCTTAAACATGGAATTTGATTATTAACTGCCAATATGGGCAGTATATGTATGATACCTTCATCTTTTTGATATCCATGCCTATAGCAGATTGCACACTAACATGAGATCTTTCTCTCCAAGGAGTTAATTTTTGAGCAGCTGTATTTATTTTCCTCTAGTAAAACATTAATTCATGTCTTCCTCCTTTCACAATAAAAATGAGAAGTTAGAAAAAAATATATATATATGAATTTTTTATTTTAAAATTCAAGTTTCTGATTATCAGCTATGAATCTTTTTGGCACTGATCTAAAATTGAATAGTGAATTCCTCTCTCACTATTAACTCAAGAAAGTCAAAGTAAGAATTTATTTTGAATTTTAAAATAATAATAATATTGTTTAAAATTGTATTTTGTTTGGAAGCAACGTATTACCAACATTATTTATATTTATCAATATGCCTTCCTCCCTCCATCTCCACCGATAACCACAAGGAGTTAGGAAAAAAAAGTTTTTAAATTCAAGATTCTGATTATCAGCTATGAAACTAGGGCTCTGATCAAAAATTGAATAGGGAACTTCTTTAAGGGACACAGCATATAGAAGACTAGCTTAAATCAGGATGCATTTAGGCTAGCTCTTGCAGAGGGCTTTTGATTGGGCATTCATCACAATAGGTAGGAAAGAGTAGATGGAATAGGCAACAATAAACTACAGAAGAACTCAAAATTGATCACTGCATTTAAGTATTGCATTAATATTTAAGCTTACCTTTTAAAAGTTCAATGATAATTCTTCTGCCACCACTTAATTTAAAGACAATTTGATGTACATAGGTCCTTACTTTCTATGCAAACAATTATTTTTATTTCATGGGTGACTTTTGCTGGATTCCGCAATTAATTTTAATTATTCCCAAATTAATTTCCAAATTATAAAATTGTTTTCATACAAACAAAATTTATTGTAAAAAAAAATTACCAAAAACAATTGCAGTAATGAAAACTTGGGAATACAAAATTTTAGGATGTTTTTGATTTGCCCAGGGAGTTGGCCTGATTTCAAAATAGTATGATATCTTGGGCTACAACCTCTAAGAGTAAAGTTGAAAACATGGACAATTTTATTTTGAAAACACTAATTTGAGAATAATATTTTTTTCATTTGAACAGGAGCTATTGAAAGTTAGCAAGCTGTGTCCCTTTAATTGTTTTTATCAGTAGAAGCCAAAATGGTAGAATCTGAAAACAGTCACAGTAACAAAAACTAGGGAATCCAAAATTTCAGGATTGCATGTTCAGATCCGGCCCAGAATGTTTTTAATTTGCTCATGGAGTCAGCCTGATTCCAAAATGATATATGTTGGGCTAGAGCCTCTAGAAGTAAAGCGGAAAAATATGACGCAGTGACACCCTGACATTCACATTTATTATATAGAAGAAAAAGACACTAAGGCTTTTGGTGTGATACTCTAATATTTGCTGTCACATCATTTCAAGGTTGTTGGTCTGGAAATTTTTGGTTTGACATTCTCAAGCCAGTTTTAACTATATTCTTTTTTTTTTACATTGGCTTTTTTTTAAATTTTTTTTTTTTACCTTTTACAAGCCCAAGATTAAATAAGCTAGAAAAGGTAGAGGGTTAGGACAAATTAGAAAAGCAGTGTGGTGAAACTTGTAATGTTTCCTCTGTGAGAAAGTGGTTGTAAGGTGGAAAATAATTCATCCCCCACAAGGCCGTGTAGATAATTTTGAATTCTATTAAGACAGGCAAGTGGGGTCTGGGCAGCTCCAACCCAGATATGGAAGCAGAATAGTGCTATTTTATCCTGTTGCACCCAAAAATCCATGATAAAAAAATAGCAAAGATTACGATATTATTTAAAAATGATAAATGAAATGATGACAATGCTTCACCTCAGTATTTCATACAACATTTTATAGTAAGATCTAATAATTTACTTGAATTTGGGAGTCATCATCAATGCAAATCATTTAATCAGTCTTGTTTTTGTGCAGGTGGAGAAGACTTATCCACTCTACAGCCTCTTTCTCCACTGACACAGCATCACAAGTCTGTTGCTATTCTATCACTATTTCCATTTATTATTTTCTTTAATTCCACCAGTTCAAACATTTACTACAAGTCATATTACTTCCACATAGTCACTTCACCCTCATTTCCTTCA